AGTCCCATTGCAAAGAGGAACACTTAGAATGTAACCCTTCTCATGTCTACTCAGAATTAAGCCTGTTCTGTTTAATGGGAAGTACTTCCAGGAAAGTGTGACTAGCATTGCAGCCTAAAAAGGAGCAAATTCTACTATATACTAAATAAAAGACAGTGCTTCCATTCCAACTTCTTAGTGAATATTTGTACAGTTTGCTATTTTTTTCTGCCATCTGTGAGATCTAGCAAAAGTATTGCCTTAATAGCTCATATTCTGTGCTCTTTGCACTTCAGTTACCCTTGCGTGAGAGAGTGAGGGAGCACTGGCAGTCTTTTATTGCTTAATTCAATAGCAAAATTAGAACATGCTAAATAATGCAATCAAACTTGTTAAGAGCCAAAATAAACACTTGGAATTCTCTGAATTTAACCTGTACCCCCCGCCCCACAAAATGCCTCTGGGTAACACAAGGGAGAGCTCTTTAAAAAGAAACTCTGCATCCTTAATGCCACTTTTCCTGGACAATGTAGATCATAGTTAAAATATTTGTTAACAGCTCTCTGACTGCTGAGGTGGGCAACTTGTGGCTTGCTTTCCCAAAGTATTGGCATAATGTAGATTTATGTGAGAGGTTCAAATTGAACTCTGTGCTATTGGAGCTGCTGCTAGAACAGGAATCTTACTGTAGTGTTAGCAGCGTGAAGTACATTGCTTTGAAATTACCCAGTGGGGGGTTTCTGCTAGCCACTGCCATTGCATCTAAAGACCAAGGGCTTGCCTTGTCTGGCTATGATTAAAATCAAAGTAGAGGCCTCTTGTCTAGCTGCCAATAAACTGGAGGTACAAAACTGAAACAGCCTGGATCCTTTGTGATTTGGAAATGCAGCACAGGACAATCTCAAAAAACAACCAGGACGCCTATTTCTAATTAATCTCTACTAATCATTCTTTTAAAAGGCATTTGTCTTCTTATTAACAATGTTCAAGATAATATTCATCACAGTGCTGAAGAAAAAGCTGCTTGGTTTTCTGTAATCCTAGACCTAGTTGCAGGCAAATCAAAGGAAAAGGACCACGAGATATTGCGGAGCACTTCCTAGGTGCCAGAGGGGAGACCAGAAGAAAGCAAAACAACGCTTGGCTCTCAGCGCACAGCTGCAGCCACCGAGCTCATGTTATTTGCATATTCATTCACAGCCCCACCACACCCACTTCCACCACTGGTGCCTGGGCCAGCTGCCAGTATAAGCAAAGAAAATGCTGGCTATTACATCAGTCCAGGCAATCCTTCCTGGCAAGCAAGCAGAGAGGCTGTTATGCTGGGTGATGCTTCCAGTTCCCTTTAATAAGAGCATATAGTGTTGGGGTACCACAAGCACAGGGCTATGGGGAATGCATCAGTACGTGGGCGGGATCCAGGTGTCCTTCCCACCTAGCCAATATATTAGTCTGCTTGCATACAGCAGATCTTCTAGGAACCAGGAATGCTCCTTGGACTGCTCAGATGCTTCCTGCCTCCAAACAATGCCATGACTCCAGGTCAACACATGTGTATGAGGAGACACGAAGAGAGGTTCAGAAGGGGCAGGAGCTTTGTTCAGCAGGACTGATGCAAGTGTTCTTTTCCAGACTTCTGGCTGTGCGTAAGAGGACTGGGGAAAACCAGTGTGCTGTAGAACATAGCAGATGCTGTGGCATGGCCTCCATGTGTCCTTTATGCATATGGAGAAGGTCTGGCAAGTAGGGATGTTTCCCTGTTCTTTATAAGACCCGCACAATGCATTATGGCTGTCCCACTACTCTCAGCAGATCAGCTGAGCAGCACATCTCTTGAAGGAACCCAGATAGTCCAAGCATCATTTCTCGTCCCCCAGAAGACCAGCGCTATGTTGCATGGAGGCTGTGTTGTAGCCAGAATAAATTATTCCCTCACAGGATTAGCTTCATACATATAAATGAGTCTTTCCTCAGCACCTACTTCACTCCTACCACTGGGCCCCCATGGAGAACCAATGTCATCTATGTACTGGGGGGAGATCTGAAAAGGGTCTGTGCATCCAGGCTTTCCTTATGACTAGAACTATGCACAGCCAGGGTCCTTGTTCTTGCAGGCTCTTTTGTTCAGACCTCCAGCATTATGTGTAGGTTGGAAGGGACATGGCCAGCAAGTATAGCCTGCTCCCTGCATCACGCAGTGCTACCCGTGCAAGGGGAAACCACCTGAGCAGTGGCTCAGTCAAGGATGTTAAACCAGTGCTAAAACGCTGGAATGCTCTTTTAAGACTTAGTTATTGAAAGTAAGAGTTTTAAGCTAACATCTGTGGGCATTCCTTCTTTACATCTTTACAGCTTTGGCCGCAGCCCTCCTCTGAGGCCTTCTCTTAAAGTGAATTTGGCCCTTTGGTCAAAGGAGGCTCCACACCTTAGATGTGAGTTAAGATTGTGGTACATCTGGTTGATTCCAGGTTTACATTTTGGAAGGTGAGATACATCTGTATGCATGATTTTTGGATCCACATACGAGTGAGAATATTATAGGGCACATGAGTTCCAATTTCTTGCCCCCAAATTATATTATATAACACTGGCAAACTATATTCAGCAATGTTGATCTCTTTTAAACTGGGGGGGGGGGAGACTTTGGACTAAGTTTATGTGCTTCTTCTGTATCAAAAGAAAGATGATTGGCACAGACCCAAATGGTCTCTGCAACTTATTTGTCTGGCAGTTACCAGCACAAGGCTTATGCTTATGTCTTAGCCAAACCAAAAGTGGTCCATCAGGAGGCTGTGTATTCCCTTTGGTTGAACAAGGAGTTAACAGTGAAAAGGAAAAGAAAATGGTGTCCAAGGTACCACCGGGATTAGTGTCAGGCCTGCTTTTAATTAAGAATTGTATTAGCAGTTGGGAAGAAGTTTAAAGATCACATTAAATAAATTTGCTGATGATGTGGCATTGGAAGAACTTGCAAATACCAGTGTGAACAGAGCAAAAATGCACAGGAACCAGAGTTGTTAGAAGTAAGAGCAGGAAATTAAAAATAAAACTCAACCTGGAAAGCTAACACATCTGCAGGGGGTGAGCAGAATATTTTTAAAAGAAAAAAAGAAAAGAAAAAGAAAAGGAGGAAGATGCTAAGAGAACTGCTATGCCATCAAATTCTTGGAAATATATAGACTAGCAAGTTAGATAATCCAGAATTGGAGGTTTTGACATTCCTGCCGTCCAATCTCTTTCAACAAGATAAGGACATCTATATGTCAGCCTTTCCCAGACCCCACTGTATTATCCATACACAGGCTCTCCAGTTCTGTCTGAACCAGAGGTGGTCAAAAGGTTTTTGGGGCTTCAATTTCCAGAAGCCCCTGCCAGCATGGCCATTCTGGAATGTTGGGACCTGATGCTGAAAACATCTGGAGATCTACTTTCTGCTCATCCCTGGTCCTACAGCCTATTGCCTTCCAGTTGATTTGGAATAATTCCCATCAGCTCCAACTCCATGGCCAGTGATCAGATGTCCAAAACATCTGGATGGTGTCAAGTTGGGGAAGACTGATCTAAATCATAGCATACTGCAGTCAGCCTACAGAGCTACACATACAGCTGGAATGGCCTCCATCCGTTGTTTCCTGGGATGTGGATGATCAGGAAATGGAGATGAATGCAGCCAACCAGCACATATACATCATGAGAGACAACACTTCTCCAGCCAGACAGCCATGCAGCTGCATCTCATACTAATTACCTTCATTGTGATGTTCAGAGAAATAAACCTATCGAGTGGTCTTTGAACCAAGCTCCAAGAATACCTTACTTATTTAACTTGATCAGAAAAAAATAATAATCTCATGACATGAATGATTAATTACAGCTAGTGCTTGTAACAATCGCAGAGGATGAAGGTTTTCAAATCGGGCAAATCCTTAACTTCCAAACAAAATACGTTTAGGTCATGTTATTTCTAAATAAAGCACAGCGCTGACTTCAGTTCCAATATGTTCATGCTTTTCCCATGTCTGGTGGTAAAAAATATGACTTTTGCCCATGATGAACACCTTCCGCTGGGTTTCCAAGCTGATTCAGCTCCCACACACTGCCTTGCCCAATAGCTGAGGCCACCAATCAAATGGGAAAAGGGTGGTAGTTATGGTGGAGCAGATTCTATCAGACACAGAGTCAATGCCAGTCAGTTTTGGGCAGGAGCACAGTCTAGATAATTGAGAGAACTCTCCTACACTTTGGCTTCATTCAGCCAAGCCATGCTATAAATGTTTCTTTGTAAAAGTTGTGGCCAGTTTTAATTCCAGACCTGCACACTGTAGCAAGGCTAGTGCACAGGTCGACATAGTTTAATTATACTGATGCAGTAAGCATAACATGAGTAAGCAAAGTTCCCTTTAATGAATGGGTAAGCAAAGTTCCCTCATCACTAGGGAAATCATTGTTTGGTAACATTCTGATTTAAAAAGAGATAGGGGAACAGAATTCTGTGCTTCCAGTTAAGGTCCATTAAAAGAAAAGTATGAGCTCATGAGGGCACAAGAGAGGTAAAATCAAATCAAATGGACTGGAGACAATCTGTCACAAGATGTGGCCCCATTGCCAAGAGAAAGGTGTCCCTCTGTCCTGTTTGCATCTGTATAATCACATAAATGTGTGTCATAGGCTTCAACTCTGGGTGCCAAACAGGATCATTTTGATCAATAGTTGTAGGATGAGGATCTCGTCTCATGAAGTGGAGCTCCAGGATAAGCAATAGAATGCTGCCGGGCTCTGGATAAAAGGTCAGTGTTGAATAAGCAGCTGCAGAACCAGGACAGATGTTCAATGGGAGACACAATACGTTTCTGCAGGATCTAGCCAAAGGTCTATGTTGCAGGTAAGTAGACTCGGGGTTACATTGAATGACCATCGAGGAAGAAAGGTAAGTGGCTCTAAGAGCTGAGTGAATGCTTACCTAATGATTTTTGATGTAGAGAAGTAGTTACAGAGTCAGGAGGATCTATTACTGAACTTACCGTGGAATTAAGCGATTCTTTTCTTGTCCATTTGTTCTTGTGGGGTTCATACTACTGATTGTAGGCCTCTCCCATGTTTGCTTGCAACCACACATCTGCTTCAGGTCATTGTCCTGAAGAATAACTGATCTTCTCCACTTCCTCTTACCCTATCCTTGAACTTCCCTTCTTTGCTCTTTCCCATTTCTTTTCCCAATCACTTCTCCTAAGTCCTATGTTAGTCAGACCACTGGCCCATTTAACTCAGTGTTGTCTCCAGGTTTGTAACTGAGTCTTTTTCAGGACTATCTGAGGAATGAGCCTGAAGCTTTATGCGTGCAATGCATGTGATTTGTCACTACGGAAATGCTCATCCCATGTGCTTTCCTAATCAGTGGTCATGTGCATGTAACAGCACACAAAGGATTTGGTGGCATTTGCAGTGGCATGCTTTCCCTCTTACTTCAGTTAGGCTACTTTATGCATGGTTCAGCTTGGATCCAATGAGAAAACAATAAAAAGATTACTGGATATTTTGAGAAACTGGGACCCCTAAACTATGTACTTTGGACTCATGGAAGATCCCCCATACATATGGTTATACAGCTGCAGTGGCTGCAGAGGCCACAGAAAGTTAAACCAAACAGTGTCAGTCCAGATTGCTGCTCTTGGAAACCTATCACTACATATGTTTCTGTAAGTGTGAGCAATTAGTGCCTGAGTTTCCTTTTTTCCTCTTCCTTCTCTGTCTCTTTCTCCTCTATGTCATGTTTTTATATAGTAAGCCTGTGGGATAGAACTACCTTATTTATTCCACATAAGCCACTCTGGGATCTTTTTGTCTGGAGAGAAGGATATTTATGTAATAAAAAATCATTTATTCACAATAAATAAGATAATGAGAAATAATGTCTAGAAGCTGTCATTGTTTCACCTGAAAAAGAGATACTCCCATCTTGCATCCATGTCAAACAAAGTGACAAACAAAGTGACAAAGCTCATTTTTATTATATAATCAAAGGTTGCATAATCTTAGAAATGGGTGTGGCTTGAGGGTGTGGCTTGGATGGGGGTGTGGCTTTGAGGTGTGGCTAAAAGGGAACCCCCACTATCATGAAGCGATCCCCACTTCTACTTTGCCAGTACTCCACTGGGTCTGACTTAACATAGACAGGGTATGGCATCATCCTATGTTCTGGTGTATCCCCACAACACTTAATTGTCAATTGTGTAAATGTTTCATGTAAAGCATGAGGAACTGCCACTTTGCACATGCTCAGAGAGGCATTAATATTACTGTTCCAGGACTAAAAGTTGACTTTTGGGGTAAGTGTCAGAGCTGCACTTTTTGAAGCGTTGCCTCAAAGTAAGCTATGGCTAAAACTGAAAATAAATTTACACCCTGTATTTCTAGAAGTGGTAATATATTTGACTTGCAGAAATCTTTAAATAATTATACATAAAATACTGACAAAATTGCCCTGTATTTGGTTTTCTTCTTAAGAAAACAAAAAACAAAGCAAAAACTCTGTACTTAAAACAGTCTGGATAAAATCATTATCGCAATTTGGCAAGACTTTAGTAGGGAAAGCCAGGCCACATGAGCTACCGTGGGACAATTATAGGGATATCTGGATGCATTAAAACGTCATTTCCAATATATGAAAGAGAATGATTCCTCTCTTTTTGTGTTGTCATCAGTGGTAGAGCTGCAGAAAGTTACATCTGGAACAGAAAGGTGGATGGTTCAGAATACACTTTCGATTTCTATCATCGTTAGAAAGGTCAAGAGTCTAGCTTAACATTGGGTATATGTTACACTGATATCCCACCCTTTAGTTCTCCAAGTGGCATACATGGCCCTCCCCATGTATCATCATGAAAGCCCTATGAGGTAGGAACAGCAACAGCAACAGCTGGCCTGGAGTTACACTACATGGCTGAGCAGAGACCTGAGCTTGTGACTCCAGACACTGGTCTGATACTCTAACTCATCCTTCCTTAAGTTGGCATGTTCCAGATGTATTCCACCACAACTCCCATCACCCCTGGCTGTTGTGGCCATTGGCATAACACAGAAAGCTAGGTGGAGGGGCAGAGTTGCCAGGAGGGTCTGAGGAAGGCTGTGAGCAGCCAGGGTCTTCTACTGTATGCATGCACACCCTGTCCTGATTGCACACAGAGAAGAGGAGCAAAGGGGCATGAAGGTGGCAGTGGAGGGGTAGATCTCACGGGAGCCAGCAGTCAGTAGCGAGTTGGTATTTCTGGGATCTTTGGTTGGATGGGCGGGGAAGAAGGCCACTTGCAGCAAGAAGGTATGGAGGAAGGAAGCTAAGCTAAGCATGTCTTGCTTTGTGGGGAGAGGGCTTGACACTTGGGGACCTGAAGATGAAGCAGCCAAGAATAATGAGAATTTGATATTACAGTAGCGCATACTGGGGCCAGAAGGACAGCCCCAGAAGCTCGGGACAAGCTGAGCAGCTCTAGGGCATTTAATTCCCGGCCCCTGCTTCTCTGAATGCCCTGTTAGTCAGGCTGTGCTATAACACAAGACATCAATGTTATAGAGACACGTGTTGAGCGTTTCATTGGTTTACGTCTGAGAACATTTGTCAAATAAATATATAAGGAAATGAGTTAGTTTCTCTGCCCCCCTCCAATTAATCTTTTAAAACTCTAAACTTTTCAGCCAAACTGTTTAGAAAACTCACATCCTTCCATAATGAACCCCCCCGCTGCCCCACCAAGTTTTATGAAGATATGTTTAAAGGTAGAAAGAGTTTTATCTCCATTAGTATTCGTGACACAAGCTTTGTACTGCCTAGGTAATCAATATGCAATCTACTTTGCTGTTTAGCTTTCTCTAAGCTGTGAATACAGTGAGTATTTTTTGGGAGCCAGGCCATATGGCTAAAAATAGCAAGTGAAAACTCTTCCAGGCTAGACTGGATTTATGTCAGCTCATTAAGAGGCTGCTGCATTGCTGTTATCTTCTCACATTCTAAAATAAGGAATAAAATAGTATAGTACACCTACTGATAAATGTATGCCAAAGAGTGGCCTTGAAGAGGAAAATTACTTAGTTCTATAAAAGCTAATAAGGATGGAATAGCTAAGTCAAAAGTTGGTAATCCATACAAGATTGGCGATGGAAAGAGCAGACACGTTAAGGTGTGTTTATGACATTCAGGGGCTCTTTAAAATGTCTCAAAATGTTCTCCTCTTTATTTGTTGTTGCTAAAAAGGGGGCTCCTGAGTCATTGCTATTAAGGTAAGCTAAAAAGCATAAGAGCAGATTTGTGGTAAAAGCTCTGCTAGGGTCAACTGCCCACGCAAAGCTCAATGTAGGCATGGGGAGTTCTCTTCTTTTCAATGTGCAACCAGTATTAACGTGTTCTCTGGGTGTACATCAGACTCCTCATATATACACTGGAGACTTTGATTAGGAACTGAATGGTGGCACTAGGGTGTCCCTTCCAGCACTGGATCAACTTCTAACCAAGTACAGCTACCCATCTGACTAACACACATACAGAACCACCCCTGCACACAAGCAGTAAGCATTCAAAGACGCTCCTTTAGTATGTTGCATAGCTCATCTTTCCCCTGCTCTACTATATAATGAGCTCCTAATTAGGCTTTAAAAAAAACCCTGTAGCTGTTTTGTAAAGTACATCAGTCATAGACTAAGCATTGTAATAAATCTCTCTCTCTCTCTCTCTCTCTCTCTCTCTCTCTCTCTCTCTCTCTCTCTCTCTCATTTCTAAGTGTAATAAATTCTATATTATATATATGCTTGTTTTTGTTGCCTTTGTTTTACTTTATTTTAAAATTAAAAAAAGTTTCATGGGAAAAGTGCGCTCAGAAGGCATAGTACACAGATGTGTGGCTCTTATTTGCAAATAGCATTTATTTATTGATTTGCATTTCTACAACACACAGTAGCAAAAACTGTCTGGACTAGTTGCAATAATACAGTGTCCAGAGTTTTACATTTCTTGCATCATTCTAAAGCACAGGAGCAGAACCTCCATCTTGCAGATATAATTTGACCCACAAAGGTTCTCCATTCAGCCCATGGAGGTCTCCAAGCATCTTCTGCTTGAGAAATTTGTCTTGAAAGCATCAGCAGTGCTTTCCCCAGTCTCAGGATCAGTCCCCTTGTACAACATACACAGCACCTAAGAGGACAGTGCAAACCATCTAGAGTTTGCTACTCTGCTTCTCCCAGCACCAACCAAACCCTTTGCTCCATGATGAAAGACATGAAGATTCATGCTTCTATCAGTATGAGAAAGCAACATTGGTGGGCATTGACAACAATGGGCATTATTGTGCCCAATGACATCATTCAGCACATGGAGGATGGTAGGAGGGGCAATTTTGCCCCTTCCTAAAATTGCTTTTCCAATCCTGTTGTAAAGGGTTGGAATATATTGACAGCTCAGCAGTTGGAAAGGTTATATGTTATAGAATCCTAGAATACAAGAGTTGGAAGGGGCCAAGAAGGTCATTGGGTCCAACCCTCCTGTTATTGTAGGTCACCAATTTATACCATCCCACTCAGATGACTATCCAGTTTCTTTTTCAATGTCTTGAGTGTGGTAGAACCCATGACTGCTCGGAACTGGTGAAGTCTGAACACGTGTTCTATTCACATTCACTTGAACATAGGTTTTTGAGCAATTGGGGATCTTCAAGCATGCAGACAGTTCTACTGACATCCAGGTGAACAGGACTGGTGTCTCTGTTCAGACATTCCCAGTTCAACTTAACCAGGTCTGAACTATCGAAGGGTGGCCAGAGATGTAGGGGGTGGGGCCATATCCCAGGATACTTTAATTCTCATACATTTAAGCAAATGCTTGAAGTGGGCTTGTATCTCATAAAAAATCAGGGATAAACATATAACTCTTCATATTCTTTCTAGAGAAAGTGTGACATAATGGAGTATTTTATTTAGTGGGTGGATTGGCCATAGGCCTAAATACAAATGAATAAAAAAGATATACAGTTTTTAAAAGAAAAGATAATACAGCAATTCCATAAAAGCTGTTATGGAAAGATAGGTGAAATAAAATAAGTTTATAGCAAGTGACATCTGTCAGAAGAAGAAATAAAACAGCGTGCACAAGAAACATTTTAGGAGAGCTTTAATCTTCTACTTCTTCAACTTCTAGTAACAGTAGAGTTTCTGCAAAGCCATAACAAAATAAAATTAGTTCATCCAAGCAAAGAACTGAAGCTGGAAACAAGAAATAACATTCTCGTTCGAATCAGCATTGTCTCAGGCAGCCATCTGAAACTGATTCTAAAATGTGGCCCATCCTTGGAATATCTTTCCTATCACCCTACAGCTGGGATACATAACTTCTTTCATTCTGAGAAGCTAATTCCTTTTCAGAGAAGTTGGGCAGATACATGCTAGCAGTGGCAGAGCCAAAAATATTAGTACTTTTTACCTTGAAGAACTAACACAACCTTGGAAAAACATTTCAAATTTTCAGGATGGGAAACTACACAAAAGGCAGGAAACCACCAAACAATTAGTGGTTGGGAGAAAGGAGGTAGGACTAAAGGAAATGGATGAGGCCAGGAGAATCCCGGGGGGCCACTTTGCACCCCAAGTAGGCCAGATTTGCTCCCCCCTCGCCTGAGGTTTGAGAAAGCACACCTGGCAATTTAGAAGAAAAGCATTGTAGGTTTCACCTGATACTAATCTAAGATCATCAGATAAAAACTATGGGGCAGGGTTAAACAGAATTTAGGATAGGATTACTAAGCAAGAATGCACATAGTAGTGGCTGCTTGTGACCTGACTGAAATCACAAGGCGAGCTGGGTCTTCCACCATCCCTGTGGCCCTCCATGTGTTAATGGGTAAACGTTCGCACTGGCGCACCCACTGTGCAGGCTCTCTGTGCCGTCTAGAACTCTGGAAGAGCAAGGCCCTACATTTCAGGAGAAGCTCATGGTACCTGCAGCCACATGTCCAATCGTCCGGAATAGTTCAAAGCATCTGGTAACCCCCTGACTGGAGAAGAGTACCTCACCAGCTTGGAAGATTGAGGGAGAATGGGGACAAACACACCGCTCTTCCCCCTCTGTCCCAAAGAGGGCTTCTGTGTAATGGAGATATGAGAAAATTTGGTTCTCCGTGGGGCTGAATATGAAAAACCACCAGCTCCTCAAAGGACTATGGCCACCTGCTGTGTATTTTCAAGCACACACCATACGCCCAAATGTTTTCTTGTAATCCAAATATTGTGGCTGTATATTTATAGCAATCTGGAATATTTTCTTTCATTCTTAAGTTGCTTCTGTCCTAATTTATTTCCTTATGACATTTATACGCGCCTTTTCTGTTTATCTTTTCTGTTTGTTCACTCAAGGCAGCTTAAACTGCAAAAGAAGGGCTTACAATCCTGGTAATATATAAGAGGGAAAAGGACAAGTAGGCAGAGGAAAATA